AATCTTTCGGTACCGGATGTAAAAATCTGTACACGATTAAACATAGCATGTGTGTTTCCAAAAAAAAAAAAATGTATATAATTTCGCAGCGTATTTTGAAAACTGTAAACGAAATGGCCTTAATTTTCGGGTTTCGTTTTAACGGGTGCTGTTTAGCGAAAACCGCACGTATTCCAGGCGTTTTCGCATAGGCAAACGGACTACACGGACGCGTAGGAAATCAAGGGAGAAAACAATACTTCTAATATTCGCATTAAATTTATTTTAGAACCGCAAAACTTGGTGACCGAAAAAATTAACGCACCGTTGAAAGGATAACAATAGTAATATTTCTATCGGTGTGTTATAACTGTATCGCTATAATACGTAGCACATATTACAGTGTGCATGTAGCTAGGTAAAAATTATATACCCCGTGAATGACGTCGGCGTCAAACGATTTTTATTTACAGCCGGTCGAGTGTAACGGCGACGGCAGTTCGGGGTTATTTTTTAATTAAAATTTTTGCGAAAACAATGATAAACAATTGCTAACGTAAATCGATTCTGAGCAAAGTTTGAAATAACGTCTTGCATAACTTAGGGTCGTTTTGATTCTGTCAGCCGATCAGAGGAACGAACAAAAAACAACAAGAACCCATAAAAGCTGTAGAAAATGTGCACATCGCTAATTATATGGGCTACGGGTTTCAAATGTAACGGCTGCCGTGGCAGCTTTACTCGCGACAGAAATAATTAAGGAGAGTAATATTGCAACAAGACCCCTGCAGCAGCAGTTTTGTGTATTATAGCAAACACTTGGAAAGTTGAATAACGCAAAACCCTTGGAAAAATTATTGTTATTATTCAGTCGGGCGGTTATAAACATACATATATAAGAAGCGCAGTCTTCATACAATAATAATATTATTTTCACAAAACATAATACTATACAGTATTTCTGGCGTCGACGGGAATCAAAAAGTTAAACACCGACTTTTATTTAAACTAAAACTATGGAATTTCTAACATATGTCGGCATTTTAAAATCAAAAGCAGGTAGTAATTTCACTACCAAAACTAAGGGCAATGTATAACATTTATGAATATATGATTCCAAAATGTTTTCACGTAAGCCAATTTTAGAGAGAAAAAAATATTTCTTAAAAAATGTGATTACATAACATGAAATTTAACAAACCCTGTTTACTAATATTACTGTAAGTACTCGAGAGTTTATTTCCGTGTAAAATAATCAGACGAAACCAGAATTTTAAAAGTGAACATACAATGTATGTTTCTAAAGCATACTTTATACTTTCACAAAATTGCATACAACTAGGGTGAACCAGCTTACAGCTATACATACAAAAACCAAGTGAATTCGATTCAAAATTTTACCAAATCATTAATTTTTGAAGTTTTAAACTTATCAATAAACCGCATTTATAAACTCGCAATATTAAAAACAGAATATATTTCGAACAAAATTGGAATACGCGTAATAATGACAGTACTTTGAAAATAATATTGTAAATAAGATCGAAACATTTGTTGAAATAAAAAAAAAAAGGTAGAAATCCAGTTCAAATTGAAATTTATACAAAATCCCGTCATATAGATAACCGCTATTCCGGTATTTCCGTGAAAGAATCACGCTGTATACGTGTAACGGGACGAAATAATAATATAGCGTTACGCAGAAAATACGTTTTTATGAACCTTCACAAGAAAATGTACTCGTATATTAAATCCGTTACCGACGATTTTATTGTGTACTCGGGATTTACCAGGAGTACAGAATTTGGTTTTGTTAGAAAATTTAATATACTCTCTGGTGTAAATTATATGTTGAAAGGAGCTAAAGGGAAAATAAAATCGCGTTTTCAAATATCAATACGACTGTATCGTCAGTATTGGACTTGACCTTCAGTCTCTTGAGCAAGTTTTAAAAAGGATTTTAAAAAAAATGCAAAATTACTGAAATTTGCTTTACGTCCTAAGACAGTAAAATACTTTAAACAAAATACCACACATAACAATATTATGTTTAGGAAAAGTTTATTAAAAGTTCATCAAAGACAAATACAATATTTTATTAAAAAAAAAAATACGTTTAACTGTACTTTTATAGATTTGTAGTGAAAAAATATATGCATGATGCATACATAATATATATTTTTTAGTGAAATGTCAAACAGCTAAACTGTAAAATCGACGATGATAATTTATTAATTTATTCGATATTTCTGAAACAGACATGCAAAAATATTTCATCTTGAACACTGTTGTTTTGAACTTATCAAGCATATAACTACACTAGATTAGCATAATTAATTTCCCGATATTCTATACATAAACATAATAGTTGCCGTTGATTTCTGCAGTACCTACCTACCTATCGGTTTAAATATTTCATAAAGTTAAAACCCTATGGAACATGTTTTATGCACATACTTAAATGATCAGTTATGAGTTTATGGCATGGTTCAACAATTTATAATGTATAGAATGCGAACTATCTACAACATACTTACTGCCAAAAAGAAATGTTTAAAAAATATTAGATTTAAAATACTCTAAATAAAAATATTGTTGAATTATGAAACTAAATTTATAGAGCATTTAGGATTGGATTTTAGTGAGTGCACCATCAAATTAACAAAAATCAGAAAATGTCAATGTATTTATATGCATACGAGAGTTATATATATTTTTGCTAACGAAATAATTGTTTTTTTTTATTATTATTATTATTATTATTATATACATATATTGATAAAAATACGAAACGGTCAACGGATGTATTTATCGGAAATCAATCTTCTACACTGAAAAAATAGGAATTGAATAACAGAAATCGGTTGATGACGATGATGATGATAATCATTATCATCATCATCACTATACCCCGTAATGGTCAGTTTCCACAAACAATCGAGTAATACAAACAGTATACCATTAATATACCCTAGGGTTTTATTAATTTTTTTTTTTTTCTTTTAACGCAAAAGAGAAGAAATTCGAAATGCTTTTAATGTGAAACCCGAGTTTTGTGAGTAGGAAAACATTGTGCGTATAGGTACGTTTAAATGGCTTTTAAGAGAAGTACGTTCTGTTAATATAATATGAAGGTGTAAAACGAAGACGTTTTCGATTACGACGTCTTCAATAACTTAGAAAATGTAACTATTTGTTTAGCAAATTGTTTTTGACGAGTGTGAAAATTGCGTTGGTATGCCAATAGTTTTATTTAACCAAAAACGTTTACAACGTTTACGTTATTCTATCCAGCCTATACGTTTTTAATTAATATTTCTAAGTACTCTGGATACATCTTTTCTCTGATGTTTGCCGTTAAAAACCGCCACAGGCCGGCAATTTCTAGTTCACCTAAGTGTATACAAGTTAATAGCATTTTAGATTCTGAGTGGAGAAAGGAATGCATTAGTTTTACAATGTTTTTTTTTTTTTTTTTTTTTAATGTGAACATTCTTCTACTATAGAACTTACTCCGATTATCAAATTATCAAGTATAGAACCTTTTGTGAAAGGAAATGTTCTCTGGATGGTACTTTAGAGAGTTCATTTTTTTGAAATTCTCATTATTAATCTAGATAATGAGAAAAACCTAGTTCTTTGGATAAAAAGGATTGAAATATTAAACATAAGGTTGTCATTGGCGACCGTTTTTATTTATTTTTCGTTATTATTAATTTTTTATTATTTTAAATCTTTTTTAAACAATTGTTGTTGTCATGGAAACGCACATTGTTGTAATCATTTTACCATAATATTCCATATATTATATTATTGACAAAGCAACACTATCAACTGAACTCCGCTCAGAATCGTTTTTTTCGTTAGCAATGTTTAATCGTTGTAATCGACAAGATTAAATTTGCAAAACATATTGTAATTTTGGACTACTTTTAGACATTTGTTTAGTTTGTATTTGTTAGATTAGGTATAGAATACTATGTGAATAAAATAGTTTGATAAAACAGAAATATCTGTACATTTAACAAGATATATATTATAAGTTATACTTAGTAATAACAAAAAACTTGAGTATAATATACTTATTTTTTTAATTTTTTTTTTTATAAGAGTTTTGAGATAAAACATTTTAGGAAAATCCTTAAAATGACGGCATTAAAAAAAATATTTATAACTCATCTTCGCTCAGAATTGTATTTCGTTAGCAATAGTTTATTGTTGCTTACAGATGTAAATTAAATAACTTCATATAGCCTACCTTCCGAATTTTCACCTATAACAGTGGTATACCAACAACAGTATCATAAGTACTCTTATTTTTTAGTTCGATATATCGTCCAACGAGATAGAGTTGAATTTTAAAATCAATACGAAATCGTTTTATAATATACTAACATAACTAATTTAATTGTGTCGCTTTTTTCTCCCCCCATTTTCGAATTTAATTTTTACTTATTATTATACTAATCTTAATGAATATAAGGATTCATATAGTTTCAACGGAAAACAATAATTCTTTATTTCGAACTGTTTATTTGAAATTTTTAAACACGAACAATACATTTGTATACATTTTTCGTATAATATATGAGTACATATTATATTATATTATCTATGCTTGAGCAAACACAATAATAATATTATTATATCCGACCAATAGCTGGTATAAGGAGTGCTATCGTACGAACGTTACAGCAACCTTTAGTTTAAAAGAACTCTGTACGATGTCGCTTCGGTAGATATATTAAATTTCACGTTAAAAATGAAAAACTCACGTGTATGCATTGCCATAAAATAATGTTAAATAAACTTTTGACACTAGATAGAGCTAATGTTATTGATTAAAAGACAAATAATATCAAAATACCATTGACAGTGATATATAACGGAGGTACCTAATTTAATGTATTTTAATCGAAATACAAAAGTTTTCAGATTCAGATTATATATTTATTTATAGTGATAGGTATATTAATTATACCAGTTACTGTATCGATATAATAATTCACGTGCGTAGATTTAACAAAAAAAAAAAAAAATACGTAACGATAAATCATTAAACAAAGTTCGGTAAAATGTGTTTGCATAAATGTAAACATAAAATAGTATTAATTTGTAACTAAAAAAAAATTAAAAAAATGTCCAGTACTTTTTAAAATCTCAAAAATACGCTAAAATAATCGGAAAAAGAAGTATCTGATCATAAATCATTATTTTTCACCGCATTACTACCTACAACAAAACGAGATTGAAATTAACAGACAAAACAGTCAAAAAAAAAAAAGCGCAAAGTTTTCGGAAAAATCAATAAAAAAAAAATACATATACAGAGTGATTCGCTAAGCGTACTCGTCCCATTTGTTTGGTTTAATTTTGCATATATTTAATTTCTGGTTTTTGATATTTTTAAGTGTAGTTAGAGCCGATATTTTCGAATACCTACTTAGATTTTTCAACACATTTAAAGAGTATTCTGTGGCGGTACCAACTTTGGTTTTTCAAATGGGAATCTATATTAAAATTTACATAAATAAACGGAGTATTACTTCAAATAAATTTTGGTGTTAACATTTTTGATTTTCGTTAACCCGTTACCGAGATATTCCACTATTAAGTAAGGCAGGGAGAGATTTGTAATAGAGTATTAATTGTGAGGCGGAACGGCGCGTGGCGTTTTATTAATACTGCACTAATCTCCCTAAACTAAAAAGTGTAATATCTCGATAGCGGGTTAATGGAAATCAAAAATGTTTACACCAAAATGTATTTAGAGTAATACTTCTATTTATGGAATTTTTAATAAAGGTTCTCATTCGAAAAACCAAAGTTGATCCTTCTACTCTTTAAATGTTGTGAAAAATCTAAATATTCGAAAATATCGATTTTAACTACACTTAAAAATTCCGAAAATCAGAATTAGAATATATGCAAACTTTAATCAAAAAAATAGGGTGAGCACTTTTAGTGAATCACCTCGTATATCAATGGAAATCACTTTCAAATATAATACGCAATTTCTTCGATTAAAATTTAACTAATATTTATGTTTTCTTTGAAAATATTTTAGAGCTATTTTTTATATTTGCTCACCTAGTTTATACTTTGGATTAAATTACTTTGTCGAAGGTTCAATACGCGAGCGTTATCTACCGACTAAAATAGCAAACAAGTATTTACGAGGGTGGTTAACGACTAAATTTCGAGTATACGATTCTTTTAAATTGTTAAAATAATAAGTATCTACATTATAATATTAGTATAATTATAATTAATAGTATATTCACGCGTATTGATGTATGCATAACACATCATATTTTATAATTTATTATACAGACAGGTGCTCTAAAAATTAATATGTAATGTAAATATATTCTTAAAAAAATTTGTAAAGATTTAGTGTTTTTATTTGAAACATTCGAAATTAAACTAACCGCTAATTATTGAAATATATATAATACTTCATGACCTCTCCGTAAACAACACGCTTGTTCAGTTTTTTCATAAAATCCGGAAAGTTATTACCTCCTCAAGGTTATAATTAATAACAATAATTACTACTATAATTTTGATCAAAATCGTGTTCCTCCGTAGATTATGTATAAATTAATAGGACACGCATAATAATATAGTGGTTTCATTAAGGTTCGTGTGCTTTGTTGGAGAACAGAGATAGCATATTAGTGTTAAGTAAGTTTAAATACAATTTAGACCAATATTCATGATAGTATAAACAATCCCAATGGTGTATTGGAAAATGAATATATGTATATACGCACTAAGGCTTAATTAAGGGGGACCGATGACTAAGACCCCACCCCCTCGAATTTTTTTACTTCAATTGCGTCCATATATATGCATCTAAAATGGGTTGAATATACCTAAACAAATTTTCTCATTACACTCGAATTAACATTAATTTGGTCATCAAATATTCTTGGTGGAAAACATAGCTTGATACAATTAAAAACAACGAAATTGGTAACGTCGTAAATATATGTGCCGTTTTATCTATAATTTTCTTCTCTGTTTTTCACGATTATTTTGGAAACCCCATTGAAAATGTAATAAATAATCTTTTAAATACACTACCCTAACTAAATACAATTTTCTTTTAGAAAAGGTGCAACACTCTATACAACGGAGCAAGACGTCTGGTAGTAAAGTTGTTTACAGAAACGAAAAATAATAATTATACATGCCACGGTAGAACCAATAGATTCCTTTAAACATGCTGCACAATATCATCATGTATCTCCTCAGTTTAACCTACAATGAGCAATATGCCCAAAGGTAAGACTAAATAGTTTGTTTTGCTCTTTTGAAAAATGTTTAAATTGGGGAAATCTGTTATTTATGTAACGTGCGGAAACGACTTGGGAAACCTTTATTCCCATATAATATTATCACGTATTATTTTCTCGTATTTGTGATGTAAATATAAAAATAAAAATAAACTACGTCAAAAACATATAATAACATGATTACATGAGTTGCATAGATACTCGTATTATACGTCATTTCTTGTCCATAGGTACCCAAATATTTACATTCGTTCAATATTTATTTTATCTTATAACAAACTATTTTAATCCTTAAACATTTATTGCAAATGATTCGCATTCGTTTAAAAATTTTAAACGATTTTTGAACGTGTGTTATTTTTAGATTTTGAGCGTAGATTGTAATTATTTATTTAAAATTTATTTGGTATAGCATTTATACAACATTTATAATAATCATTTTGATAGATACCATGAAAGAAAGAAAAATAGGAAGATAAATGTACATTACTTATACTAAGATTTGAGCTTATTTTTATTTTTATTTTTTTGTTATCTGTAAACCACTTTTCTATCAAAAATCTTGCACCAATCATTAGTTTTAGAGGCGGTTTCTTGTAGAAAATTTGATATAATTAATGCGTTGACCGGGAGATTATTTATTTATTATTCTAGTGGTTTTCTTAATAATAGAAAAAAAAAATGAGAAAACTTACGCAATGAAAGTTTCTGTTATTTACGATTTTTTTTTTTTATAATCGTTTTAAGTTCAAATTTTAACGAAAAACATAAAAAATTCAAATCATTTTAAACCGAAATTTCCTCATAATCGATTTTTATTATGAATGATTAACTATCATTATACACAGTTATAAATTAAAATGTACTCTATATATATATTCTACATACACAACTGTTTTATTTTCTGTTTGATATGAACACGCTAAAGTACAATTTGTAAAAGATATTTATTCTGCAGTATATGTCAATTTGAATGTGAAAACTTAAGGTCCGCACTAGTCAGTTGTTCGTACATTTTGCTCGCTAATATTTCAAAGGATAAAATAATCTATTATTTAAACTAGCGAAAACTTAACGTTTCAAATGATTAATCTCTAAAGCGTACTACGTACTTGTGTGCAATGTTAAACTTTTGTAATCGAGGAGGAAAAAATCTATAAAAATCATTATCTTAAAGAACCAGTCGATTGCTTGCTACCATTTGAGTAAAAGTATTATATATTAATATGGCATACGAGATATAAATAATCACACCAATTGAAAGAATTTAAAATAATCTGCTACGACTAACATATTGTAATAACAATATGATTATATAATGTGAGTGACTGCATTTGTTAAACAAAAATTAAAAATAATCATCATAATTGAACACCTTGATATCATAACCATGTTTCTATTTTATTCTAAAATTCACTTTTTTCAATGTTTCTATACTTAGGTACAATAATCGAATGGATCCGGAAAAATAATTATTGGTTTTATGAAAAATTTTAAAAATTGGATGTCCAACCAGATCCGTCTCGTTTATTTACGTAAAACATTCGTATCTATTTAAATATCATTTGTATTACGAACTTGTCGATGTCTCGTGTTCAAAAGAAAGTTACACACATATCGGGAACCCTTTACAGCGAGACCAGTGAACGAAAGCTTGGAAAAATGAAAAGAATAATCAACCGGACATTGCATAATGAAAGGAGCGTTACCATCCGGACATCAATTACCTTATCGCGAAATTGAAAAACAGTGAATCGCATATGGACAGGAACAGCCGATACACGGTCAAATTACACATCGAATTATCAAAGACAACGCAAAATGTGGTTGCGGAGATCAACAGGACGACGGGCGTCTGCCGAAACGCCCGAGCACTCTGCACGGTACACAAGATCTTAAAGGCTCGCACGAAGAACCGACATATCGATACATCGTTTTACAAAGTACTAGGGCATAGGGATAGGAATACAAGTTTTGTCGACCACGCGAGAAGATGAAAATCACGTCTAACGTATATGTAATCGAAAAGACTCGTGCTGTAGAGTGATATAATATTTTCAAAAAAAAAACCCATGGGGTAATTTGATTTTAGAAAAATCGATTCCGATATTACTTGCGGTCGCCGTCGACACTCGCGACGGATTCGCGGGGTAAATCCGCGTGTATAATATGTGTACGGGCGCGCGCACGGCGGATCCGCATTCTGTATGCGTGTATTATATCGTAATGCACGTGCGTGTACATCAACATAAAACGGCGAGGCGGGAGTGAACGAGGGAGAAACGGCGACAAGGTGTGCAGAAGTGGGTAGACGTGTGGGGAGACGAGTGCGATTCATTGTCATACCGCAGTCTAGACTAATTTGACCGTATCAATATTGAACCCGGAATTCCCGCCCGCCGACCACCGGCAGCACTTCCCGCGTCGACTGTTCGTTACCCGTTCGACCGGCCCGGCCGCAACGGTTCTCGGGATGACGATATTGTTGTTCGCGCGTTCGAGCGATTAAAATGCGCACGGCCGAACACTAATCGCCACGCGTGTGGCCGCCGCGCAGATCCGCGGGCCAGACGGGCCTGGTAGTTCCGCACGAATCTGCTGTAATCCGAGAGTGCGATCTGCGTGCGTCGCCCCGTCTTATTGCCCGGGCGGGCCGCGGCCGTGCGGTCGTTTCAATCCCGCGAATAACACCACCGCGTGCCCGATGGCGCTGCGGCGCGGCACCTATTGCATTCCCGTTTTACGCGTGCGTTTACGTGGTCTTTACGCGCACGACATTTTCAATTTTCCGTTTGAAAAAAAAAAATATTATAAAATTCTCCTGGATTCGGAAATGACGCCCACGAAGAAAACACAATTACGTATCGTGCACCGGTTTTGTTGTCTGCTCATATTAATACACTGTCATTGTTTTGAAGATAAGTGCCTACTTCAGTATGACTTGTTAGTTTTATCTTTTATACGGTCCATAATGTCGATTTAAAACTAAACTGAAGAGAAAATATTGTACAATATGAATTGCATAATAAACGAGAGTTAATAGGATTGTGATAATATATGTAGAAAATAAAAAAAAAAATATTATTTTATCGTATACTTTTTCTGATAATTTGTACCGTATATTAGTGCGCTATTTTTCAGCCACAATTCACGGATACGTTTTCGAGATTTCATAAAAACGCTGAAAATTTGTAATTTTTGAAAAATAATAAATCAACGTAATAATAAACGTAGGCCGAAACTAAGAAAAATTAGTTTTGAACGTTCTGTACGTTTCAAACATCCATAAGCATTACGCAATCTAGTATGCTTAGTGTGTTTAATAGTTTTCCACGTATTTATTGATTTTCTTCAGACAATATTGCACGCGAGTATATTAAAAAAAAAAAATTAAACCATATCATTTTTCATATTTCATACGCACTTTTTGTTGTTTGAAATACGACCACTACTGTAATTTAAAGTTCTGAATCGGAATATTTGTCTGAAAATGGATAATTGACAATTTGAAAACTTTATCCCTGGAGTCATAAATCGAATTTTTAATCGAGTGGCGAAACTCTATCGGTTTTATAACGATGCGAATTTTTCGAAAAATACTTTTTGAAACAGTAAAAATAAGTACCTACTTTGACAGTCACATATAATCTGTATCGATTATATAATATATAAGACCGACGTTGAACGTAGACAGGTCACTTTAACACATTCGGAGTGTAGTTCCTTCCGGTGAAACATAATTGTTTATATTTGGTATTTATTGATTATTTTTAGATTTCGAAAGTAAAAATTGAATAGCTATTAATTTTACTAAGACGTATGTTCTTTCTCGGAAAACACTTTTTCGATTGCTCAAAATGTTATATATTTCATATACATCTTTAGATAATAAATACACAACCCATCCTTCGGTATATACTTTAAACTGTTATAACACGTGAATAGTGAATGAAGATATTAGTGTAATACATGTTTACATTTTAGATTCTGAACGAGGCGAGGAATGTATTGCTTTACAATAAAGTGTATTTTTTTTACCTGTGAACAACTTTTTACCAGAAATTTTACTCCGGTTTTCAAGTGTAGCACTTTTTCTGAAAGGTAATCTGACTGGAATGGTACTGTAAGTTCGACATCTTTCGATTTTCTCGGAAATTTTCATAATAAATAGGAAAAAACGTGGGAAAACGGGAAAATTGTAAATATTCAAAACATGTATAACCGAACTCTACTTAGAACTCTTTTTCGTTAACAATGATTAATCTTTGCGAACAGATGATATACATTAAATTTCCCCTCTAATCTCTCAACTTGTCACCTAAAACAGTGGCCCACCAATCGTGTGAATTATGTCCGTTTGCTTTTAGACAGCTATTCTCTATTCTTATGTATGTTCAAAAGAAGAGTTCCTATTTGAAAATCAAAAGTATATTATTATTTAATGTACATGTAGTAGGGGCGAAAATTAAATTAAAATAGTTTTAAAATAAAGCTTAACTCATTCCAATGAGAGAAAGAAATGAAAGAAAAAACCAAAAAAAAAATGCACTTAAAATTGCTGGTTTATAATAAAATAATCACCATATATATAGTAAGCAATATATTATATTAAACACTTGAAATGTTTTATTCGCTAGACAAGTACTACGGCTACTATACCACTCAAAACAAACCATTTTTAGAATGCAATGCAATCATCGTTTTTAATTTAGACCAATAATAATTCGCAACACAGGTTTGCACTATAATATTATAAACCAATTCCTATTCATGTATTCATTGAGAAGTATTTTACAAAACATCCCCGATAAAATGGGATTTTACTACGATAAAAACTAAATAGCTCCATTTAAAACAAATTACGTACAAAACATAATTATCTACGTATCAATGTGTCGTGAATATAATCTTATAATAATTTGCTGGTACTTAAATTGAAGTTTAAACGCTTTTGGATTATTTAACTCGTAAAAATATACTTAATTTATTATATATTTTATTGATTTTGATGAAATTTAATATACACAGAAATGTAGACGTGAATATACTATATATGTATATTCCATATTCTATATACCCAACAATAATATATACATTTTTTTAATCTATATATATATATACACGTTTTACGATAAAAATATCAAATTAAACTTTTATTTGTTATTCAACGTGTGTAACATTCGAGTTGATATTAAAATTTTACCCGAGTTTGTATACCTACATAAAAACAAAACATTTAGGCATGTGTAATATTATAGTGGTATTTTTACGAATCATTGACTTGGATAAAAAATTGTTTTTACAAAATTATATTATAGTATACGAGACAAAATGACGGACATACTTCATACGTGGGTGGACCACTGTTTTGGGTGAAAATTTAGGGAGGAAGTAGATGGGGAATTTAATGTATAACTATAAGTAACGATAAATCATTGCAGCTGACGAAAAAACGATTCTGTGCAGAGTTCAGTTGATAGTGTTGCTTTGTCAACAAAATATTATATGTCATATTATGGTAAAAGAACTACATAGGCATTACATATTTTCTTTAATATTTGTTTAATAATTTACCTATTTTCCTGTTTTCCTTATATTTTCCCCGGTTTTACCGTTTATTAGGAAAACTCCTGGGAAAATCAAAAAATGACCTTCTTAAAGTACCTCCCCAGTTAGATACCCTTTCATAAAAAGTGCTATTATTGTAAATTAGAGCAATATTTCTTAGAAAAATTGTCCACAGAAAAAAAAAAAACAACATTGTAAAACTATAAGCTTTTTCGCTCCACTCAAAATCTAAAAAATAATATAGTATTGTCTTATCCAAACAATTGAAAAATTACTTCTTCAAGTAAAATGATCCGTTTACCAAATTTAGTATACCAATCAAGTTCAAAATATTCTGGTGATTTTTTAGATATTTATTGGCATTGGACATACTCGAATTCTGTTTAGTTTTTATTTAGCTATGTCAATAAAATTGTTTCAGAAGAAATGCTTAAAAATTGAACAGAATTAATGAAATCGTTTTTTTTATAAGCGTTTAAGCAGGATAAAAAGGGCGATTCTCACTCAGGTGCCGGTGCCGGTGCCAGTGCTGATGCTTTACTTTAACATACCCGAATTATCCACCTCTTTATCAACTTATTTTGATCACGCCCCTTTGCCAACAAATTTTTTTTCTACATTATCAGCTACTTACTCAACTTATTATTTTCTATACCTACTATTATCACACCATAATCATATACCTGTGATTATTAAAATATTTTTTTATGCACAAATCCTGTGCTATACCTATAACAAGTTCGCCCAACCACGATTACTATCACGATCTTGCTCAAATCATGCATAGGTGCGGGAGCCTTAACGGGAGCCACGATCACGCTCACCCACACGACCCATATAAACCTACCACATCTATACGTACATACCAATACATATACACACACACATACACATACATCACCATTAATATATCTACAATCAATTTTTCTATCGCTGAATCTACCTACACTCACACACATCGTTAATATTGATAATCTCCATATAAGTACCTATATCACCAAACAGTATATTTTTTATGCGAATAATACAATATACATGGGCATCGATAACAATATTTTATATCACCGTTTTTAATACTATGTACCGATAAAACGTACGACACAACAATGTACATATGTACAAAATACATATAAAGAAATATCAATGATATTAAGACTGTTGTGAAAACTTTTAATTGGTCGTGTATGCAGGTGAACAATAATATAATTATCCATCTTCTTTCCGTAACTATCGGGCAATTTCAAAGAGCAATATTATGTTTTTTAAATGAATACGGGCAACAATTTTTATTTTTAAATATCAAAATATAATACAATTGTTATGCGCTTTATTTAATTAATAACATGAGTAATACAATTTAGAAAAAAATCTATTTAAATATTATTTAGAGTTATTAAGTTGAGTTTTTTTGAGTTTTTTGTTTTTTAGGGAGGGGGATAAACTTATTGAAAAAAAAGTTAAAATTATAAAAATGTTTTGTAAAAGCTTAGGAGTCTAACTTGAATTATTTTTCTAATTATTTTTGAAGTCTAATTTCCATATACTTTGTATAATATTTAATACGCCAATGTCAAGGTACAGAAATAATATTGATTATACAAATAAGTTTCTCTAATAAACTATATCAGCAGCATTCCTGCAAGTCGAAAGGTAAATAGAATGAAATATCAACCAAACAAAAAGAAATAATGCGAAATTGATGAGGGATTTAATATTATTTATACTTTTAGTAATAAATATTTTTATTTGAAAATCAACCATGTAATTTATGTAAATATGCTTTAATATTATGCACCTTTTTTGACCCTAATCGATTAAATTTTAGATTCTCAAAAAATATAACATAATTCAAAGAGATTTGTTTACTTAAACCCATATACTATTTATTCGTGACAAAATTTAATTAATTTCAATTGCAGGTATTCATAAAGTTTACCTTATAATACATTATGTTCGATTTTAAATAATTTGATTTCATAACTTGAAAGTCAAGACCAACAATGCTACCAAAATTATGTAATATCTATAGTTTAAACCATAATATAATTGTATTTTTTTTTTTGTACTACACTAAATTTAAATTTTTAATACTATACTATACGCAATTTGTATTAATTATTTAATTATCTCAATATTTTTATCAACTAAACTAAACTAAACTAAATAATAAAATTAATTAATTTTCTTTCAAAAATAATATCATAAGACTCTTAAATACTCTAAATTAATTAAATTAGTTATTTGAAAATAAAAGTCATTTTTAACATTTATTAATATTTTTGGATACTATTCATTTTAATTTAAAAGGACGTCCTACTACAATTACAAGACAAACATAGGACGTACTAAAATTAAATCGATGATTGCAGAAACGGCACGAGTCAATTATTTAAAACTTTCAGCTAATTGATAAAAACTATACAATATGAAATAATTTTGACAAAAAATGTAATTTAAAAATAATTATTAATTATTGAAACATCATATACTGATTTGCAAGGCTCATAACTTTAAGTATTTACATTATTTTTTTGAGTGATCCTGAAGATACTCATGCAAGCTATAAATTTGTTTTAGAAAATCACGAAGCTATATACAAAAGTTTATGTTGCATATTTTTACATATTTTGAAGTTAAACTGCTATTATGATTTTTTTGTAAGTTAACAGTTATTTAACTGCTACTTTTTTTTTTTTTTGGTATACTTAGTGCTATTATAATACCATAGGCAAAATACATGATAACAAAAACAATGTAAATGACAAAAATGTATACTTTATAACAAAACTAATTTAAACAGTCTTAAATATCTACATGTTCATATGTTTCTATTAGCATCCGCTGTAACCCAATAAGACACGTAACGTTTCTGCAATCATCGATTCAATTAAAGATTTCTTAAGAAAGTTTTTTCAATTTTAAAGTCATTTTTAATCAAATGAAAATAAATCATGAATATTTTTTTACATAATTATGAACTAGACTAAAATATTCACGGAAAATCGGTTTTAGGGAATATTTGAGAGAACTCAGAAAATATTTTTCTTAAAATTGTGTTTCACTAAAGTTGAATGTAACCCATGTGATTTTAATTCTGCTATAGGCTAGTTTTTGCCTGCTTCAACGCTCAAGTGTATGACGTCCTCATAGTTTTAAAACTTTCAGAAGATCTTATAAAGTAACTAGTTGACTAATAGAAGTAATACCTTAAACATAATATAATATTTCTAACACTTTATGCAATTTGTAATTTTCAAGTTGAAAAATATATATAAAGAAATGAACCTATTAAAAATAACAATGTTAAAAGTAAGTAAGTTTCATAAAATTTATTTTCTTTCGAAAAACAAATAATAATGCCAGTAACAATTTTCCAAATAATTAAATGTGTACCTACGGAAATTTAATTACAACAAACTAAAATGAAGTATTGCACATATTGAATAAATACTAATAATAAAATTAAGGGTTTACACAAACAATGTATTCTTCAGTTATGGATAATAGACGTTGTAAAATTGTGTAATAGAAAGAAAATTAAGATTTACCCAGTATGACGTTAAAATATGCACATAAAAACATTAAAAATTTAACTACATATAATACACCCATCGATGTCAACACTTATATAACATTATATAAAATGTATAATTACTAATAATAATAATGAAAAAAAAATTTAAGTGTCGAATTTATTACCAAGTGAATTTAGCTGCTACATTTTTCATCTACATACATAATATTTAGGTAATTAGTATACGTATTAAATTCCATAAAAAACAATTATTTCTTGCAAAAGTTTAAAAAAAATGTGCTATTCGCGATTAGGCCATCGTTGTCATATAAGTGAATATTTGGGAAGGTAGAATATACAAGGTAGTGAAGATTTTATACTGTATACAACAATAAATTATTACAAACAAACAACGATTCTGAGTAAAGTAGGATTAGTCGTGTTTTTTTCTTTGTTACCGAAGGAACCCAAAATCAACAAATATTGAAAAAAAAAAGAACTAGGAAACTAATTATTGAAAATATCGATTAATATTTTAAATTAAGTACCATAGAGCAAAAATTCCGCATATTCTAAAGTACTTCATGAATAAGTCAAAACAATTTTAATAATCGAAACACCGTGTTTTCCGAGAAAAAAACATATCAAAACAAATAGTTTCTTCACTACACACAGAATCTAAAATGGAAAGAAAAACAGCATTACATTAGACATGATTAATTATTCTCCAGAATTCGTATAAACACAGTGTAATATATTTTATCATGGTATTTGCGGTCAGTAGCACCTAATTCGTTTGTATTTTGTAATGTAAATTGTATTATTTCTTAACTACCCCCTCAGAGCATTCAAGGAACACCTATTTTAGTCAGTACTCGTTGATAATAAGTTGATAAAATTGATAAACTTAACAGAAATACTTGAAAATTGAATAAGAGGATCGTTAAAAGTCGTACTTAGTGTTACGAAAAAAAATGAGTGTGACGAAGGTAATACTTTTAAGAATTTTAATATTAAATGTTGATGAAAATCGGAAATATTACGGCCTTGAAGAAATATAAAACCGAATTTCGCTCCGAATCGTTTTTTGTAGTTAAAGTTTTATCATTGGTTATAGATATAAATTAAAAAACTCTATGTATATCTTACTTTCCCAACTTCCCACCCACATCGGCAGCACATCCATTCCATCTCAATTTCCAGGTAATCTTAAAACTAATTTTTGTATAACACATTAAATATAACTACGCAGTTGAAATACCTAATAATTGTTAATTGTACCAAAACATTTAAAAATTATATGAAATACCATTTTAGATTCGGAGCAGAGTGAGAAATTCATTGGTTTTACAATGATGTTTATTTTTTTTATTTTTCATTTTTCTGTGAACGACTTTTCTACCAGCAATTTTACTCCGATTTACAATGATAGCGCTTTTCATAAAAGGAAATCTGATTGGAGAGGTACTCTAAGAAGATATATTTTTTATTTTCTTATGAGTTTTCAAAATAATAGGAAAAACCGGAAAATTTACAGAGTGTATTACGTTTTCAATTTGCTGTTTTTTGTATCTTTTTGTTTTAATTCAGTTTAAAATATTTGTAGAGACTTGAAGTTTGGATATAAAACGGGCGTAAAACCTCCGTTTAGTTTATTTTTCCAAAATATATAAGTTATGATTGATAATTAATGTGATTTGGATATATGCCCTTTACTCCCGTATAAATACGTACACATACACATTAAATTTCCTCTCTATCTTCTCAACTTTTCCTCTACAAGAGTGCCCATCGTGCGAAGTATGTACGTTTGTTTTTAATTAGAAATTAATTTATTATTATTATTGTTATTCAAATTATTTGTTCTTATTTCCCTCAGAAAATGAATTTAAGAAATTAAAAAAACTTGTTTAGCTAATATAGGTATAGTTTCAAGTGTGCCACTATGTGGTTTTAAGATGATGAATTTAACGAATTACGTATCTATTTGATGTGACATTTTGACAATAATATAATTGAATGGATGACACACCACCGTGTTATTTTGTATTGTAATCTATTTTGAAAGGACGTACACATTTGTAACATTTTACGATGTATACCTATTCACCCTATTCACTCTGCAATACGCAACTACCAATACGATTTTGACATGTTTTCCCGGTTACGTTTACGTTGTTTCAAGTTCGGAAAGGGAAACAATATTCACTGATCGATAGATCCTATATGAAATAAATTATTAATAAATGTGTTATTTTATCGTTTTTAAAAACTAAATGTAGGTATCAGATTTTTGTTGTGTTTTAGATTAAGAGTACTTTTTACTAATATATAATATTATTATTTGTCGGAAAATGTTTTTTTTGTGATTAAAAATGATCCAAATTATTCTTCACATCGTATGAGCATCCTTAGTATTACAGTATTTTTTTTTTAAACATATATTGATTACCATGGAATTTTAAATAAACCAGAGAGTTGATACTGAGAACGGGTGCAGCCACGGTTGTAGAAGTTGGAAAGGTATGTTATTTTATTTATATCTGTAAGCAACAATAAACCATAGATGATTCCGAGCGCAATTCAGTAATACATAACTTAAAGTGCCGGAATTTTTTTTACGATTTTCGTTTAAATTTGATTTCAAAACACGCTAATTAAAAAAAGGGAAAAAAGTCGTCTGATGATTTTAAAAATTTTACCACGTCTAGATAATTTCAATATTAGTATTATCACCAAGTTTCAAGTCTCTACGTGAATTTATAACCGAATAACAGCAAAAAAACTCTCAAAAATATAAATTCCTTAAAAGCTCAAAAGTGGCTCAACATTTTTAACGATGATATCTTAAGAAACTAAATAAAAAAGACAACAAAAAATGTATCTTGTGATTTTTCGATTACATCATTTTTTTTTTTTTTTTGTTGAAAATGTCGTCAGTGTCTTTTATAAAATAATGAACAATTGTTTCCCAATCAAGTGCTTTTATTTAAAAAATGACGTCGAAAATCAAAAAATAACCTCTTAAAAGTACCATTTAGACAACTTGAGCTTTCAAAAAAGTTGCTACGCGTAAAAATCGGAGCAAGTTTACTAGGAAAAAACGTGTTCACAGACTAGTAAAAAAATAAATATACATCATAGTAAAACCAATAACTCCCTCACTACACTCGGAATTTAAAAACAAATTAAAAACTGAATACTTGAATTTATTTTTGTTGACTTTTAGGTTACCTTAACGACACAGGGAAAAGGCAAGGCTAATACTTAGGCAAGGACATTAATGGAGACGAATCCAATCCGATTAGTACGTCAGACTAGAAGAAAAACAAAACCGTTTATATTATCGATAGTGGTTATATTTATCCATTTTCGACTTACCAAAAAATCGCTCAACAGATAAATTTTATTTTTCTGACAGGCCGGATAAAATTAGATTTATTTTTATTAGGTTTATTAATTAAAAAACAATAAATTTGTGTATGACCCTTAGCATGTGCTGTGTGTGACAACTGATAGTATATTTGATGTAATTGTCAATTACAGCCTGTTGAGTTAATTCAGTTAAAGTCTATAAGTTGAATTAAGTCAGTAGTAAGTTGGTCAAGTTAAAATTGAATACGATAAAAAACGTTTAAATAATATTGTTCACTCAAAACCTGTATTATTGAACAAAAGGACTACATAATATCAAAAAAACTTTTAACTTAAGGAATAACTTTTTTCTTCCATTTTTCGGGTATTTATTGTTAATAATAAGGATTAATAGACCCATTATCAGAGCGTTTTTTACTCAAAAACATGCCTTAAGGAAAAATACTATCATGCCTCATATAATGGGGTCCGATTTCGATCTTCAGTTTTTGTTAGAAAATGGAAAACTTCTTACAGATCGCATTATATTTCTTTTTTAATATTTTCATCTCAAACTTTATAATACGTTTTTAGTAAAAATATAATTTAATCAAATCACAAAACGGAGTTCGATGCATTAGGTAGAATGTTTTTATTTATCAATTTAACAAATATTCTAAGGAAATATTGTGTTAACAAACTTCTTATTCCCTATTATGAGTTACTTCTATTCTCATGAAACCATTCTCGTCTAAAATAATGGTACCATTTGTTTCTGAATGTGCATCTGGCAGTAGATTAGTGTAAAATTTATAGCTTTAGGTGATTATCAAAAAGTTAAAAATTATTATTATATTTAAAAAATTGGAGGAAATTTGTAAAACCGGCATCGAACCACTTAACAAAAACACATTTAAAAACTCGATTTGACCATTCAATATCTACCCAAGTCACCGTGTCGTTAGAAGAAAAGTTATTATATTTCATTATCATCAGATTCAATGACCAATTGTATCTAATAAAATCACATAACCTTAAAAGGTATCACAAAAGTTAGAGAAGAAAATGACCGACAACTAAGTTTTTCTAATCCTCAAAAAGACTGTGGCAGAAAACACATTTTTTTTTCCACACATCTGTTTAAATTTATTGAAATTAAAATATATAAAAGCAATAATTTGTTAAACTATGATTATATTTGTTCTAATAAAATATACTAAATACTACGCAATATAATATTGTCACATTTTGTCGCAATAAAACATAAACTATAAGATATCATTTAACTAATCCAATCATCACTATTTTCTCTATCTTAAAACTATTTTGATTTAATGTTTTTTTATGACAGTTATAGTTTCTTTTTCTCCCACCTCCTCCCTAAAAAGCTAGACTATTAGAAATACATTGTTGTTTATTAAGCGTGTATTGACGATAGTTTTCGATAAAAAATTACTTAATTAATTAATTTTATTTGTTACTCAATTCTAATATCACCAAAACGTTTTGTTTACTGTCCAGTATTTTACCAAAGCAATTGAAGAAAGTAAACATAGTTTTTAACTATTTGCTGATTCCGGTAACCTGGTTGTCGAAAAATACATTCAGTTGTCACACAATTGCAGTAAACAATATCGCCAAAATAGTTAGTTCGCTAAACTTGTAATTATTAAACTTAACATAACATCACTCAAAACTGCTCACCTAATGTTTAATATTTTTTATCATTGTTATCATCGTATGACCTCACAACTCTGTTAGTTTAGCCACTGTCAGTGTCCTCCAATAATCACCGTCCCGATGTATTTTTCCTTCTATTCTGTCACTTCCGATCTCTATAGATTTTGGTGTATTCCCGTTCGTCATTTGTTCGGTCTTTCTTCAGATATTCTTCCCTCGGACTTCGGTTTTATTATTGCTCTAACTTCGATTGCTTCCTCATTTCGTATGGAACGTATCCCAGCCACTCAATAATATTTTTACTAGCAACAATCATTTAAAATTAATGTGCCCTCCTTTCAAAAATGCCTCTCTATAGGCTTCAGCCTACTTAAATTGACGTTAAATTCGCCACTGGTCGCAATATTCTCGATCACACAACATTTTGAATATATCCGTTTGACATATTTTATTACACGACCATTTCCCTTATGTCTATTCAAATACACACAGCAGTAGTGGTAAAATACGCCAAATTAAAGCGAGAATCGTGTTCCCTGTCGAAACCTAGTTTGAATTGGTATGTAATTTTATTACATTCGAAACAGCCACACCCATAACGTACGAAGGTATATACTACATATACACCTTAGATACGCGTAATGCTTCTGTCAGACGAAAAAAACATATACTTAGATCAACTTTTGTCTTCTCCTCCACCACATCCCCCCCTATCACACCCACTAGAACAATGGAGTCGTTTGCCCCGTCAAAAAAGCCACCCGTCGAGTCGTCGTCATAATATCGTACGGAGACACTTCATTTGCAACTAACTTATATAAACATGGTGTTTAATTTTTTTTTTCACATAAATATAATATATATTAGTATGTTACCTAATAAAATGAATACAACTAAACTAAGAACATAGACTCTCAGAGAAAACCATTTGATTATTTTATGCGAGTTTTTAATTTTAACGTTTCTAAAGCACGTGAACATTAAGATTCTTGAGTAATTTCGATTTCTTTAAATCCAAATTTTATTTCCAGAAATCTTAACATTAGTAATTGTTTTAATAAGCATAAAATATATACATACCAATTGAGCTTAAAGATTTAAAATAATATAGGTACTGTGGTTACTGGGTTTTTTTTTTCAAATTAATAATTATAACATAATATTTTGTAAATTACATTTACAAAATAATTATGTAAAGAACTAAACAATTTGGAAAAATGACTCGATGTTTTAATAAAGCGTATGCTGAAATCTATCAGAACTGAAAAACAATACGGTGCTTACCATTAAATAACTAATAATTAAATAGTGCTGCTTCAGGTATACCCAAACCATCAAAATGGTTATGGTAAAATTAAATATTTCGACGAAATGGGAAAATGGGCTCGTCGTTCTACCGCGGGGAATTAAGCCATTCTAAATTCTTCGGTTCTTTTGTCACTTAAAAAATATAAATAACATCGTTAATCAATTCACCGTCGTACATTTCCGGTGGGTAATTGATGTAAAAATCAAAGTCAATAAAAACTATTGAAAAAGATTTAAGATATTCGCCACCGAGATATTAATGACGTTATAGGTACTTAATTTGTATTCGTATTATAATATTTGTATAAAGATAAAATAAATATCTACTTATTTAAATAATGAATTATTAAGATATTTTAATTCTATGAAAAGGAAGATATATAATATTATGGAAGAATTTTAAGTAGATAACTACAAGGCTCTTACCATAAGTTTTTTTTTTTACTTAACGAGAGCCGGTATCGAATCATAATATAACTATACATATTAAAATATAGGTACTAAGTATATTGTATATTATATTATTATGTAAAATAAATAATTAAACATTAAGTAGGTATGTTATTATGTTATATATATAATCAGTGTTGAGATTTATCTAGATTTTTTTTTGTTTTTCTATCTAGATGAAAATTTTTATATTTATCTAAGGGTTATCTATGACAAAAAATAATTATCTTTTTAGTAATTATCTAGATAAAATATCAAATTATACCTAAAAGAAGGCAAGGTTAGACAAACCATCACAATTAGGTAAAAATGAATTATCTTATGGAGTGAGGGAGTGTAGGAAGGACGAAGTTACTCACATTAAATTTTTTTCAAGCGTATATTCACTAAAAAATGTAACACTACATCACCGATGTAACCGCGTCGTTTTGCACGTAAATTATAATAATTTGAATAACAACTATTACATTTAGATTCTGAATAGAGCAAAGAAACTTATGATTCGAAAAGATGTTTATTTTTTTTTTTTTTTTGTTATATGAACAACTTTTATACCAGAGGTCTTGCTCCGATTTTTTTGTGTAGCAACTAGTTTAAACGAAACTAACGTAAGTATATTAATAGATACATAATAACAGTTTACAAAAATATAAAGAATGCAAACAAATCATATAGAATACAGGTACTTCGTACATAAAAATAATCGTATATATTCAAATCATAGAAACCAAATTCATATAATTACTAAACAACTGAAAATATACATAATAAAATAGCTTTAATAAATATCATTAACTTATAATATATGTTTATGCAAAACGGAAATTTAATAACTTCGTAAATTGAAAAAAAAATGGGTATTTCCATTTTGAAAAAGTAAGTTATATTGCGTATGCATGTACACTAAGGTGGTTATTATTTTTGAACTTTGAAAATTTCAATGGGCTATCCCATTATTTTGTTATTTAGATGAAAAAAAAATTTGGGTAGAATTTGGTTTTGATAACCTACACATTTCACGAGCCACAAGGGGGTTGAGAAATTACCAAATTTTTTTACATGATTTTTTGAGTTTAAGTAAAAAAATATTAATTTATCGTAAAACTGTTCGTTCACTTTTTGATAGATCTTTTAATTGCCTATAAACAATCTTTTACACATTTTTGGATAAAATTATTACTACCCAAGAAAAAAAATAAAACATGATTTATTTCGTTTATTCGGAAAACTGGTTTTTTTACGGTTATTTAAGTATACTTGATAAACTTTTGGAAATCATGTAGAACATTGTAAATACATTTTATACATAATTTAATTGCCTAAAAATAAGTAATAAGAAAAAAATTGCATAATATCAACCATTTTGTTCTTATTATAAAAACAAAATATAGAAATTATCCCGAGAACAGAATTAAATAAAACGTAACATTATGTTATATAAATAAGCTATGAAATACAGATAGCCTGTCAAATTCCTTATTGTAATAATTTATATTATGATATCAATGATGATTGGTGATGTTTATAATCTTCATAAAATTTCCATCGATAAGAAATTATTGTACGTTTAATGATATTATTTACTTAATTTAAACCATACTAGTTTTGTCGTTTATTTTATACCATAAAAAAATTATTATTAATTTATCTCTATAAATTTCAAAATGAATCTTCGTGAAAATGTTTATTTAATTGGAGCAAAATCTCATTAAATTGTTGGATCTAAATTACCTTCAAATAAACAAGTTTCATCGGTTTTATTTTATAACTTAAGTCATGTTGAACTAAGTTTACGTGATAGTACTCGTTTAGTCCTTGATAAAATATTAATAATTTAGCAAAAAGCGCGTATTCCAACGAGAGAAGTTCGGAATTGTGTTCCGAAATTAGAATCGTTGTATGAAGAGTGGAGAAAGTTGCAAAAGTGTATTCAAATGAACTTAAGTTCAAATGCAAAAGAAAATGAATTTGTTAATAGGTTTGATGACCTTTTTGATATTGCTCAATCAGAATACTTAAATATGATGAAAATAGACATAGACAAGCAGTTTTTAATTGATCAAAGACAAAAAAGTCGATCAGGATCTTTATTTGTGGTCGATTTAACCACAATTTCTTTAAAAAAAAATTAAATATAACAAACAAATCGAAGAATCCTAGAAAAATAAAAAACGTAATCAATATGAACTTCAAGCACAATGTAAGTAATTATAACTTTAACATTATTTTTATTAATTATCAACTGTAAAAAAAAATGTTATTTAAAACAAATTTTTAGTTGGATGTGGAGCACCAGGAGTACCAGGAGCTTGTAATCATGCCCGATCGATGGCCGAGGCAATTTATTGTCTTAAAATTTTCATTTTTTGAAAGCAATTCAATATAACATATTGAACACAAGAAACCGCAACATGTCGTAATACATGTATTTTTATTATTTTTATTTACATAAAAAGATGGTTTCGTTCGCACATTGCTACAAAAGTCCCGTATCAAGATCTTTTATTTATTCAGAATCTTATTGATTATAAAGATATTGAAGATAGAGTTTCAAATTGTTCATTAAAAAAGTTTATTAGCCATTTGTGGTACCTAAGTTCAGAAGCAGCAGCCCTCGCGTTTTTTGATTCAAACGTATCAATAGAAGCCAAAAGGAAAATGGGAGCCCTTAAAAATACAGACGATTCAGCTGAAATTTCAATAAAACGATATCTAGTCTAATTGGCAAATGTTTATTCTATAAAACATAAATATATTTATGATTTTATAAACATAGATTCAAAAAAAATTACTCCAGAGATTTAATGTAACAACCGATTTTTTAGATCAAGATCCTAAAGTATGGAATACAAATTTAAATTACCTAAAGGGATTAAAAATATTTAGGAATTTGAAAGTGGCTAATAATGCTGCTGAAGGTGGCGTTTAATTTATGTGTGACTTCAACAATGTGATAACGAAAGATGAGGAATAGACACAATTTTTAATACAAACCGTATATGATTATCGTCAACGGTTTTCTGATACTAAACGAAAAACGCCAGGAAATGAATATTAACTTGATCAATGTTTTGATTTATATCTTCAAATTAATTTTTGTAGTAATGTATATTAAATTTAATTTCAGCCCATAATATTATACATGATGTGTTATATAATGTGTAACATATTGTATACATTATAAATACAATAAATATTAGCTTTACGCGTATTTTTTATTTTTTTTAAGTTAAGACTTATTATATTCTGTTCTTAGGATGATTTCTATTTTTTTTATAATAAGTATAAAATGGTTGATCGTATGCAATTTTTTCTCATAGCTTATTCTGTAAGCAATTAAATTTTATATAAAATGTATTTACAATGTTCTACATGGTTTCCAATCGTTTATCAAATTTACTTAAATAACCCTAAAAAACAATTTTTCCGAATAAACGAAATAAATCATTATTTTTTTTTTCTTAGATAATAATGATTTTATTGAAAAATGTGTAAAAGGTTAAAACTGTTAAAATATATATTCGAAAATGTATGATCAGTTTTACGGTAAATGAATAGTTTTTACTTAAACTCAAAAAACCATAAAACTACGCAATTTGATCACTTTTCAACCCCCTTGCGGCACGTGAAGAGAGGGGGTAGAATATCAAAACCAAATTCTACCTAATTTTTTTTTCATACTAATGAACAAAATGGTGGGAAAACTCATTTAAAAACTTAAAAAAATCTTTATCAAAAACTAAGAACCACCCTAGTATTGTACGGTAGGAGTTATTGGAAATGTATCCTAAACTGTGTTTCGAAACAAAGATTCAAAGGAATTCGATGATACGATTTCGTGGACGTTTCTTTGTACTGCGCGATGCCTTATCAGGGTCTATTATACTACTGGGACAGCTCATTGTCGAAAATATTTGAAAATTTGGTGTTGAAACTGAGTAGTATCCGTCCTCACGTACTTTTCTCTTCCGACGAATTGCGGTGGATGAAATTTGGTTTTTAACATTATTAGGAGAGGGATTACGGAAGCTCTCGATTTCAGCAGGAGCGGGTACGCTATCTATGATTCTAATCGGCGAATAATTAGCGGCGAAAATAGACTGTATGTTTTTGGTACCAGTATTAACAGAAGGTACGTGAGAGCTGGCGACTTCAACAGAAGTAGGTACGGAACTTAAGATTCCTTTCGGTGAACATTTAGTATCGACATTAGATCGTGTGTTGTCAGTAACTGTATTAGGAGAAGATTTTTTGGAACTGAGAATTTTGGTACGAGTTGGGGAGCATTCTAACAATTTAATCGGCTGGCCTTTGGTGGTGCTATCGACAACGTTACCAAGAGAAGGTTCGTAGTAGGTAGCGATATTATCCGAAAAGTGTACTCGTTTTTTTACTTTTAAAATTGTCGTAGATTTTTGATTGGCGGCTTTCTCAATAGGATAGTCAGGTGCAGCGGAAGTTGTTACCGGTTTCGGCGGCTTGTCGGAGGCGGATTCGGTACGAAGATATATGGACGCCATTATAGCGTAAGACAGTTGCAGTTCAGAACGAAATTCCACAAAGTACACATGCGTGAACTGTTTACCAGTCGCCGTTATCATCAAGTGATCCAGCGATCTACCGCAGGGCACTGAAGTAATCGAATTAACGACTAGTTTGTTTGCGAACGTGGGATTTAACAAGACACTATTTATTTCTTGCCAGGTCCTGGCCACAACGACCTTGCCGTCTTCATGAACAGTTTGGTACTCGCCAAGTTTGTCATAGAACTGGTATGCGTTCTCCGGATTCGAACTCAACACATCATAATAACGTTCAATAAATTTTTGCCCAACGTACGCTGCGTTCTTCGAAAGTGTCAATGGGTAAGTCATTTCAGCAACTTCAGGATTTTTCAAAATACTTATTTGTAAGAAAATTTTTAATGTACAACTAGAAAATATTTTTCGTTTTTTAATCGTATTTGTTATTCGTAGGGTCATATATTTTAATAGGTGGATACCATAACAACACGCGATCGTTACATTATTAGCCATTAACAATGTTTTTTTCGCCTACTTATTTAAGATATTTGGAGTAAGGGTAAAAATTAAAAATGATATTAAAATAAAGCTTAAACGATTCTATAATGATTGGAAAAAACAGAAATCAAATTCACTTAAAAAACTCCGAGGTAATTGCTGGTCCGTGATAAAAAAATTCACCCTGTATAGTCAATGGAATTATTGTTAGGTAGGTACCTAGTAACTATTAAATATTATTTTAAAGTTAGGTATTCACGCATAAGTAAGTTTCAAGTATAATTAAAAACAATTAATACACCTATAACCTAATTATGTATTATATAAAAAATTTTAAAAAAAATATGTACAAATTTTAAAATACTATACTAGGATGTCTTTTGTACTTAATGAAAATATAGTATCTCGCTATTAGCAGTTATAATTTATGTAATACCTTAAGAAATTCTGTCTGTTTAAACGTATTATTATTTTATAGTATAAAACCATTATTTCTATAGCTGCAAAGGTTATCAAATACATTCAATAATACAAATAATCCGTTGAACACATTATTTTAATAATAACTTAATTATTTTTATTTTTTTTCGATACACATGAGTAAATTGATTCAGGACACAGTACCAGAATGTGTATTTTATATACAACTGAGTTCAATCTTATTTCAATTTTACCAATTCCGATCTTGTGAAATTCCATACAATTTCTATTCGATAAAGGAGAAAGTTTGCTGTCTTCTTTTCATCTCCGAATTCAAATTTTAAAAAATTTTAAAATATGCAAGTTCAATTGTATTCATTTATTTTTGGATTACCTTGGTTACACGGATGTAATTGGTTACTTACATTGCCACGGGAGGCATTTCTCGTGCTAAACATAAGTATTATATTATATTTAAATGCCATATAATTGTTTTGATTATGAATGGAGCGAGGAAGGTATTGGTTTTTCAATAATGGTTTTTTTTATTTTTGTTTCTATGGTCAACTTTTCTACCAGCAATTTTACTCCGATTTACGATGATAGTAATTTTTATAAAAGAAAATTTGACTAGGGAGGTATTTAATGGAAGTCATTTTTTGATTTTCCCAGCTGCTTTCATAAAAAATGGGGAAATAGATACAATATTAAACAAATACAATTAAATAAAATTTATAATGCATATGTAATTTATTATTTTACCATAATATGGCATATATATTGTTGGCAAAGCAACACTATTAACCGAACTCCACTCAGAATCGTTTTTTCGGGTGATACCCATTTCCCCCGAAATAATAAATGTAATTTTAGCCACAACCTCTTTCCGCCAAAAACGAAACAGGTACTATTCTCGTTTCCACCAAAAGACGTCTCCATCAAATATAGTTCGGTGACTAATGGTGTTAATATATACAGCGATAGATAATCGTTGATAACGAAAACATAAACGGCATCAAATAAACCATACATATAGCGATAGGTAATTTAGAATTGGTATCGAAAAATACAAGAATTAAATTTAACATTTAAATATAAAAATAATGACTGGTTAAAACACACTTTTGGGTTAACATTTTTGGACCCTTCCGAAGTATCGGACTGCAATTATAAAAAAAAATCAAATGAAATTAGTAGTAAATTAGTAATTTGACTTTTGTCAAAACTGTTTCTTTTAATTTTGTTATATTTTAATTTTTAGCTGTAATTTAAAGCTGCGATTTTTTTTAAAAATCCTATAATTTAAATGTATTATTTGAATTATAACTTGATTGTACATAATTGATTAAATGTTTCCCAAAACTATATTTGGTGGAAACGGTAATCATACTTTTAGAAGAAAAGGACTATGCTCGTTTTTTCGTTAGCAATGGTTAATCGTAGCGTACAGATATATATTAAATTACCCCTCTACTACCTTCCCAACTATCCACCTAAAACAGTGGCCACACCCAACCCCAATAACAGCTCTTTTTTTATATGTAATAGACTATTTACTAGCTCTAATTGAGCCTATAAATGGTTTGGTTTTTAGGAGTAAAGCATGTAAGGAAAATATTTTTTTTTTTTTTATGAACAGATTTATGTACAATATGTACATATTGTGGTAATGGTCAAATAGTAGCGGAAAATTGTCCACTTAAATTGAAAACGAAAAACCCATATTTTTTAGATATATGAGGGCCATTATTATTGCAATGATGAAATACGCATCTTCATTTTACGATACAGACAAAAATAAATGATATCATATTATAGGTACAGGATGGGTATCGTACTACAGAATATATCGTTTTGCGTTGTCGATCCCGATAATATAATACGCATAAAAGGCCAATGGTTTTGTGATTTCATCCATTCGTTTAGTAGAATAAATATGTTGCATAATTATTGAGCCAAGTCCTTATCGGTTATTTTTTTTTAAAATAATCTGATAAAGCATACCAAATTAATATTATTTTATTTTTTAATTCATATTACAATATTTGTTTAGTTCTAATTGATTCTGAAATTAAAACAGCAAAATAATTACTGTAAAAATACTACGCTGCAATAATTAAAGTCTGATTAATAATATTTTAGGATTGACATGAAATTAAGAATTACATTTAATTGAACTTTCAAATGTATACTCAGAATATTTTTTCATATGATATTTCTGGTAAATTATTTTCCAATGATATTTATAATAGTAACTATGCAGATTAAAAATACTTCTACAAAATAATATGTATAGACTAATAATAATGGAAAATACAAATCTGCATTGCAGGTACATTTTGATTCATCTATTATGTTATAATATATTTTAAACAAAAAATTTATTATATTAGAAGATTAAATGCAATTTCACACACTTACAATTTTACATAATTAATTCAATCTTGAACCACAACAAAAAATCCATCTTGCAATACAAATTAATAATTATATTTTTGTAACTGGAAAGGGAAGAAAATCAGCGTTAAAGGTTTGTGTGAAAAATAAACGAAATTAATAAATTATTAGATTTATTGAAAAACACATTTAAATTTAAATTTAAACATTCGAAGAAGTTAATTTAAACTCATTTGTATTTATTAATCTTTGTATTTAAATTTAAAATATTAATATTAATAAAGTACAAAAAAAAGCTTAAAAAATCTCAAGTTTAAGGATGTATTATTAACGTGTCTTATTATTAACGTGTGACTTAGCCTTTTTGGGAAATAATTTAGATACTGTAAAACAGAATTGTAGAAAACTAATAAATGTAGCAGGCAAATGTGGTCTAAAGGTCAATGACAAAAAAACGGAGTATGTCATAATTGGAAGAAGAAGTAGAGAATACCAACAAGGAGAGTTTATGGAAATAGATAACCATAAGTTTAAGACAGCGTCACATTTTAAATACCTAGGATCTATAATAACACAAGATAGTGACCTTAAGATGGAGATGGACACTAGGATTCTAATGGGAAATAGGTGCTTTTTTGGCTTAGAGAGTATGTTTAGCTAAAAAATCNGGTGTTTGAACGAAAAATCCTAAGAAGAATCTATGGACCATGTATCGATTCTGACACTAGAGAATGGAGGATACGCCACAATGATGAACTGAAGAACTTGTTTCAAAAACCAGACATTATATCCGAAATTAATAGGAGAAGATTAATGTGGGCTGGACATGACTGGAGGAAAGAGGGCTCTTTCATTAAGGCGGTTATTAAAGAAAATCTAACTGGGAAAATACCGTTAGGAAGACCGCGCTTAGGATGGGAGGATCGTATCAAAAAGGATGTTAAAGCAGTAGAACCAAATACACAGTGGAGAGAAGCTGCAGAGGATAGGGAAAGATGGCGACAAATTTGTTTGCAGGGATGGTCTTGGAGACCGTAACCCACAAGAAGAAGAAGAAGAAGAAGAAGAAGAAGATTATTAAGGTGTATTATGTTCTGGCCAAGCAATTTAAAAATTGTACCTATCCATATGAATTATCATTTGTCCGTGTAAATCATTTTTATTGAAAAAAAAGTTGTATACATAATTAAATATAAATATGGATTTTAGATTCTGAGCGCAGCAACGGATGTATAGGTTCCACTATGTGTACTTTTTTTCTCTGTCTTTTAACAACTTATCTACCAGTAAACTTATTTCGAAAAATAAATAACAACATATTCACAAAAAAATCTCAGTTTCTATAAAAAAATTTTCACTTTTTGGATTTGATAAGTCCATTGGGAAGGCCATTATTTAATTTTCATATCAATCATAATAATTAGAAAAACCCGGAGAAAAAGAAAAATGTATTAAAAGTTCATTATTTTCGATTTTTTTTTCAACCAGAAATCTCGCTTCAAAAATCAATGTAAACCTGCCTATATTTTCTTTCTAGATGCAGTAAGATGTTCAAAACATTCTGGCGATGTATATATGCGATGTATAGTTTGTATAGGCATTCTCGATTATCTTTAGTTTTTATTGGGTTTTATGTGAATAAAATTGTTTTGACCAATCAGAAATACTTGAAAATTTAACGCAAGTTCTATTTAATATTTTAATGTAAAAAGAAGACGAACGTGATGCGTTATGTACTAGGTACCTAGTCGTTTTTTTTTTTTTGTAAACATTTTTAAGTTAAAATGTTGAAGAAAAACATACAAATCACAGCATTTCAAAACATGTTTAACCAAACTACGCTCAGAATCATATTTCCTCAGCAATAATTTATCGTAGCGTACACGGATTAAATTAAAATATAATTTTATACATTTTACAACCTACACATCAGTAGTATTAGATTTGTATGGTTTTTATTACTTTCACTATCATTTATATTGGCGAAAATTAGTGCTGACGTCATAATCAAAGTATAGATATGCCCCAACCACACGGTATATTGATCGTTCGATCAAATTTATATATTTAGACACCGATAAAAAATTAAGTGAATTTAAAAGTATTCAGATATTTTCTTGGCGGAATAAAAATATATTCCCGAATTGGTAAAAATAGTTCCAAACATTCGAATGTCTAGACTTCTTGCATTGCTAAAACTAAAAAATGTTAATCCACGGGTAATTTTTTTACCAGAATATTGTCAAATATACTGGCACACATTTATCATAGTAACAATATAAAAATAAAGGATCAAATCAGGATTTATGCGAAAAACATAAACAGATATCTCATCAATGCGGTCATCATAAACAACAATTTGTTTTTAAATTAAAATTGTACACGATTTACAACATAAAACAAAATATAAGTACTTTGCAGTTGCTATAAACATTTTTTTTTCTTTTAAGATAAAATGTATGATATTCAAACTTAATGAACAAGTAGGTATATATGTATTTATATATGTATACAAATAGAATTAAACCCATCATATTTTTTTATTTTATTTTATTTAACAACGCTAATCTATGCCATGGTCTTTTGTAATAGAGCCAAGTGATCCCTCATTTTATTTTATAATATAATATATATACACACTTTGGTTTAATCATTACAATATTAAATTATTTTAGTCTAGCTGATATCCATCACAGACTGAAATAAATCGGTTAACGATCCACTCTCCCTTAATATTATACTATTTTAGTCATGTATTCAAAAAATGAAACCACTTTTATAACTGTAAACTTTACCCAACATCCTCCCTTCATTAATTAATTTAAGTGTGAACACTCTTATTTATTTGTATTACTATTATACTTGATTTTTTTTTTGTTTTATGAATTATTTTTAAAAATTAAAAAAGTATAAATTTAATATAACAATTGTATAAATAGACAATTTTAAATTTTAAATTGATTTTTCAAAATATAATATTCTGTCATAACAGATAATTGATCATCGTATGATGACGTAAATGTCAACGCGCAAACAGTATCTATTAAAAAGTGCAAAATAGAAACATCAACTGTAATATTATTTAAAAGTTCAGCAAGAGAATAACTATAGCCTATAGGTATTATAGAAGAACTAAACAAAATAAAAACTTTGTTTGGATAAAATGAAGGTTTACCAGGTATCGTTCCGGTATATTATGTAACACGTTATAATATAATCAGCGATAAAATTAAATTTCTATAAGATAAAATTCAACATTAAAAACAAAATCGGAAAAATTGATTTTTTTTTTTTTTCTTAATATAACTATAGTAACTATAGTATAGGTATCTAGTATATAGGTACTCAAATATTTAATAGAAAATGATTTGAAGGCAACGATAGAATACTCTCAAGAACACTAACTGAACACTGCGTCGCTGAACCTAATTGTCTCTACTCGGTGAAGTAGTATACTATATACTGCAGATCTTAAGTTTCTTTAAAAGAAATCTTTTTTCGTATAAAAAAAAATTATTTACCACAATAACTCGGTAGATAAGCAATAAAATAAATAGACGTAGAACAATTTTATTGTCCATTAATTGATTTTTTTTTTTTTTTTGGTCGAGTATTATAATAAACAGAATAGACTACGTTTTAATCAAATCAATTCTACAAACCATGAAAATAATTAATAAGTATTCAAGAAATTATTATTAAGTTCGTAAAAAGTAATACAAAAGAGACAGACATACTTCACACGATGGGTGGACCATTGTTAGGTTAAGGTAAGAAGGTAGGATATATAAGGGTATTTACACATATTTGTATGCAATTATTGCTAACGAAAACAATCCAGAGCGGAGTTGGGTTCTACTTGCTTTACGGCCTCGTAAAATGCCGTAATATATACGATCGTCAAAATTAGATATTAAAATTCTTATAAAAAAAAAATAATAATACTACATTAAACTTAACTTTTTCTTGTTGACAACTAAGTACAACTTATAATGAACCACCTGTTAAGTTTTCCAGTTCTGTTTGATCTAACAATTTTATCTACCGACTACATAAAGAATAAAAATTACATAAAAACTTATACTGTTAAAATGTCTATAAATAACTCAAAAATTGCGCAAATATTTTGAAAATTTTACCATTTTTGTCCAAATTTTGAGTCTCTATGAATATCTTAACTAAATTAAAACAATAAAAAAAAAAATGAAAATAAATAAATTATTTTCGTAAATTTTCGCGTTTTTCCCAAATTTTTTTGAAAACAGCTAGGAAAATAAAAAATGACCTTGAAGGTCCCACCTTGGAGATGTAAGTACCGCCCCAGGAAAATTTACTTTCAGAAAAGATGCTACACTTGAAAATCGGAGTAAGACTTCTGGTAGACTTTTTTTACACAGTATTAAAAAAATAATAATAATAAACATCATTGTAAAACCAATACATTCCTAACTTCGCTCAAGGTCCAAAAAATATTATGCAAGTAGAAAGGACAATTATAGACAAATTTGTAACCGCAGGGAAATGGCAATGAAAGACCATTGAAATAGTTTTTTATATGCTTATGCTATGTAGTCATTTCATAAGTATGTTTCTTCAATATGATGTGTTTGGTTTATATTTATATATTTTATTGACTAAGCAAGTATACTATATTTTTAAATTGAATAGAGGAAATAAAATTTAATCTCGGATTAAGTTAGTGATTAGTTTTCAAGTTGATCGGATATTATTGTATCGAATGTGTCCGTCAATCTTTAGTCGGTACGATACCTAAGTTTATAAAATCGTTTTAACAATAACATTTTTATGTGATTAGTAATTAATTGAGTTTTTTGTAATGGAACGTAAACAGGTAGATATCAATATAATATACGATTTGTGTTTTATTTTTTAATATTCAAAAAAAAAAATAAGTGTAAAATTCTGCATGTCAAATTCATTTTATGCATAATAATTAAACATGATATGGTTACGTGAACACGATATTATGTAATAGTATATAAGGGCGTCACCATTTTCCAACAAAAAAAATATACTGAGTGTCCTACAATGTTATATTAAAGGTATATAACTATCATTAGGTATTTATTTTTTTTTCAATCAGGTTTTTGTTCAATGGGGCACATACCTATGTAGAAAAAAAAAACAATTTTTTTTCATCCCTTAATCGATGAAAAAGAAATAACTTATTTTTCACTTTTCAACACTTTCAAAATAGCCATTTTGTAAAAATATTATTCTGAAAATTTGAATGTACCATACATTTATATCCGATCAACAATTTCTGAGTAATAGCCATTTTAATTTCTAAAAAATTGGCGTGAAAACTATTAATTTTCAATAAAAGATAAGGATTCTTAATCACGTAACGTATTATTCCACTGAAAATTAATTATTTTCTCGCTAATTTTCTAGAAATGAAAACGGTTATTACTCATTAATTATTGTTTGGCTAACAATATAACGTTATACGTACGTATAATATAATAACGTTCATACAACACTGCGCCCTGTTTTTATTATTTTAAATATTTTTGAGAACTCCTGAACCTAAATCCATCAAATCATAATCATACACGTGCTTCACTGTGTATCACGAATATGGATAATAAACTATTATACATAAACCGCGGATTAATGTACAGCTAATTAAGTATAAGAGGATGGATTAAAGAAATTACTCGTTTTCGTAAATGTTAAAAAAGATTCGAGTATATCTCCAAATTTTACCCGCTATAGTAAAATTATTATGTAACAAGCCGGAAAAAGGTGAAAGGAAGAAACGGGAAACAAATATTTTTTTAAAATTTGCGGAAAAGCGACAGCGAACAAAAGCATTATACATTTTGGAAAAACCGTAAATATATACCCATAGATATGTCTAGAAACGAGCATTAATAATGTGGCTAAAAAAACAAACGCATCATGCGTTTGTGCCCATAGATAATGTATACATGGATGGGACATCCCTAACAATACTCTACACGGTATACTGTGGTTACCATAATAGTTATATGCGGTTACAGATACTGGTTTATGATACACAACATTTTTATCAATCTAATTTGTGCCAATTTATTTTTACTATTTTAATTGCCTATTAATTTGCGACTGTTTTAAGTTGTAAAGGACAAACAAAAAATAGTGTATAGATGTATATATTGTTTTTCCACTTAAAAAAATAATGACAACCATCCTTGTCTTTTTATATTAGAAATTTATATACGTATTCTTTTTTTATCACAATGAGTTATTTTTCAGACAAATAAAATGTTTAAACATGTTATATGCAATTTAATTTTTAATGCAAATAATAAATAATATTATTTTCTGGATTTTTTTACCACACCTTAATTAAATGTAACCACATTGGTACCCAATATGCTCTTCGATCACACTTGAATACATGGTATGTCTCATACATGTAGTCGGTTTTTGTGGACAGTCTTCAACGCCAGTCCTACCAGTGGCGTACCGATAGAGCGGTATGACGGGCAACAAGCCACGGGCCCGTGCCATATAGGGGCCTTAAATCAGAGTTGACGCGTTATTTTGAGTTGTGAATATTAAAACGGGCGATGTATCCTTTTTTTCTTTCCAATCTGTGTAAATGAGGATAGTGCACTTGGTCCCCGATTCGGTTAATCTAGAATATTTTGCCACGGGCATTACAATTCCTAATTACACCACTGAGTCCTGCTGTTACAAAAATTACTTATTTACCGTCGAAATACATGAAATTATATAATATTAATGAAATTGCATAAATTTAAACATACCGTAATGCTGATTACAAGTTTTACTAAAGTAAAATTAAAAGAAAAAGGTTGAAAAACTCAAATCTAATCAAGTGCCCATGAATGTATTTTATAGGCACTACAAGAGGGCCATGCCAAAAAGCTAATAAGCCAAAAAAAAAATTTCAATCGGAATTAAATAAGCCCCAGTAGTGCTAGGACCCACACCATAGATTAGCCTAGGGTCCAATATATCAAAATACTACCCTGACCGTGAATACTCATTCTTTATTAGCCTTTATCTAATTTATATTCTTCTCCTTCTTCTCCTTCGCCTTCGTCCCGACTATTTGGGACGAATACTGTCGTTCTAAACTTCAACTTAATGTCTTAATTTGAACTTCCACTTTGCATACACCAGCTGTCCTCGTATCATTCTGAATCATATTCAAAACCTATTTTTCGGTCTTCCTCTCCTCTTTTTTTCCTACGTTTAATTTCATTACAATTATTACTGCTTCAGATTCCTCTCACCTTATTACATACTCAAACCATCTTAGTCTATTCAGGTAAGCATTCCCATCTTTGCTATACTCATATTTTGTTCTATTTTTGTTCGTTTGTTAGTTATTATAGTAAGTAATTATGTTTTGGTTAATAACTTTAGAAAGAATGTATAATGTGTGTTTTGCATGATTTTTTATAACTGAATGAAAATAGATTCAACAAGACAAAAAAACGATCAACATTAATTTTTCGGAGTACGAAAAAGCGTAAAGGTACGCTTGTACTTTTTAACGAAACATAACAGAGTGACTCCTCTAACCAGGCTAGCGTAAAATATGAAAGTAATTTTTTATAATATATTGATTATAAATATAACATATAAAAATAATTATTTTGTTAGAAAAGGTTTTAACACTGATAAAAATACCTAATATTTATTATAAACTATACTTTTAAAAAAAAATTATTTTCGCAGCTTTTAATAACAATATTCTGCTGAGCTTATAACGAAGAACAAAACCAGCTTCACTGAATAATCGTTCAAACGGTACAGAAGTAGCTGGTATACATAAACTACTTTCTACTATATTTTATATCCTATAGCGTGGATAGATATGTTTGTAGTCTCTTCGTAACAATTTCGGTTCTTGCTAATAGTTACCAACTTAAATAATTCCATCTTTTGTTTGACTTGAAAAGCCTTTAATGTTATCCAGATAACATAAAAAGATGATAAAGATATGATACTTCATACAAATAATATTTTAATAATGTTTTAAGGTTAAGTATCTAATTCAGATTCAGTATATTTTATTATAAAATATTAAAATAATAGTATATGTATAAATGGATTCGTTGAAAAAAGTTTGTTAACGGATAAAATATCTACACCAAAATGTAAACATTTAAAACACAATATTAATTTTACAATAATAATTAATTGTCATATACTTACTACCTATATTAATTTTGTTTTTTATAGTATTTTAACTACGAGTTCCCATTCACTATCACTCTGATAATGTAAACTTAAATATACAAAATAATAATAGTTACTGTAAATACACTATTATACTTAGGTTATAAAAGCATAGATTTAAACAAGTTAAACGCATATCTAATTGTCAAAAAAAGGCTTTATTTTAATTTAATTTAATTTATTCATAAATATCAAATTAATATTACATCTATATACTACATTCATAATAATATTCATTAAAATCTGAACATTTTAAAACCAACCTATTAGTGGCGAATCCATGAAGGAAGATAAATCAGGCTACTGACCTACATTTATTTTTGATATTAAAATTAGCTTCTTTTTAAACCCCGGAATTCGAATGTATATTATAGTTAATAACAAAATTGTACATATAAAATTACATATAATCGGTTGGCCGTATATACTCGTATATATAATTTTTTTTAAATGTCAATAATAATTATAGACGGTAGTACAATATGTCATAGTTGATGAACGACAAAACAATACTAAAAGATATATATGTACGATTATAAGGGTATAGGCATTAATTTAGATAATCAGTTGATGATCAATTCAAAATAGTTTGTTAATTTAGATTAATTTAGTATAGAATAAGTTGATTACAATACGTAACAATACATGTACTCATTAAACAAATCAAACATACATTTTATACGTGAAATAAACTGTCTTATATTTTATTTGTATAATCAAACTTGAATAAAAACTGTACACATTTTTATCGTTTTACACAAGAATATGGAAGGGCGTTTTAAACGAATTTGTTATAACATTATGTATACTTCACTCAAAACGAATTCATTTGAAAACAGATGTTAACCAATTTAATTTTTAATAGATTTCAATAACAATAATACAACTTATATGTTATTTTTAAGAAAAATGTCATATAAGTTCAAATCTCACGAATTCTTTGTGACCTTTTATGTCGATTTGTGTACAACTATTTTCTGAGTATTTTCTATATCCTACCTAAACGTATATAAAATATTTTATTTGTCGATATAAAAAATCTCATAAAACAATATTATATGACACGACGTACGTATATAGTTCAACAAATTCAATATACTCGTATTTAGTCGAATAAACCATAGGATAATATTCAAAAAGTTATTAATAACTATTATTTAATATTATACATTAATAAAAGTAAAATTGAGTTTTAACTGATAAATTGAATGTACTTTAATACATAACCCATGTAATAAAATAAGGTAGTACAATTTATTAAAATATATGCATTTAATAACAATAGTTTTAACTAAGTTTAACAATAATAAGGCCAACCTTCATTTATGGCTGTGAAGTATGAACAACAACCAGCCAAACCTGAAAAAAACCTGAAGAAAATCAAGAACATAATATGAAACAGTATACGTGGTCTCCATATAATGATAAAATAAATAAACAATTGATAAAAAAAGGGACGACAGCGAGCTGTACAACATCCACGTGGCACCAGAAAAGTGGGTAAAAGCTACAATAGCTAACTGGTATAATGAGAAGAGACGACAGAGATTCCGT